TCACGTGCTCTTTTTGGTACACACGACATATTTAATGTGTTAACGAGGACAAGTTCGTTATAGATTGGTCCAGTTTTATTTTAAACCCGTGTAGACCATAATGCACATACGACACCGATCTTTAGCTGTTATATTCGACCGGAAAACTATAATTGAAGCTCTTCGAATCCATGATTTATACATCTTAACCATAATAATTAAATAAGTTGATACACAGAGCCATCAAACATTTTTTTGCAGATTCCTGATTTGCTGAATCAATTTTTCTTGTTTTTGTCACTTACTGAAGCAAGCAGCTTTGTTTCCGTATATTTTTGGAAATAAATCATTAGCCTTATCAGTTAGGCGGCCCAATCGTAAATATAATTCGTGATGGGCCTATTAAAGACCGTACGATCGGTCCATAATTAACGGAAGTAAACGCAACAGCAGAGACATAAACCAAACTTTATTGACTGAAAATGTACAAAAGAAACATAACCAGTATCTTTACAACAATAGCATTATACAATCCTGTTAAATAATCCAACAATCTCTTCCATATTACATTTGCCATTGTAAATAAGCTTCTACTCGAATCAGAACTTAACTCCTTGGCAATTTAGTTGACGGTGACTTTTCCGACCATACCAGCTCCTTGGTGCGGCACACAATAGAAACTGTAAGAGCCAGGCTCTGTCAAAGTAACCTCGTAAGTCTCTCCAGGACCATTTAGAAGTGCTTGCTCGTCCATCGAGATCTTGCTCGCGTCCACACCACTCGGGATCTCGTCTTCATCAAACACCACGTTGTGTGGGAACCCTGCGTTGTTCTTGAACACGATCTTCTCTCCTTTAGCCACCGTGAACTCCTTTGGTACGAAAGCCAGACCACCGTCGTCTGATCCAAGAAGAACCTCTATGGCCATCGCATTCCCTGCCAAAACGATGGAAGCTGCCGTTGCCACAGCAATGACGCCGAAATCTTTAAGAGAAGACTTCACGGCAAGCTTAGGCATCGGTGCGGCGGCGGATGACCTGATGGTAGTGGAAACCATCGGGGGTTTGGACTTGACGGCGAGCTTAAGGCCGGTGAAAGAAGGAATTCCGACGGTAGCTGATGTAACTGAGGCCATTTTGTTTTTTTTTTTTAGTTTTTTTTTAAATTGGTGTTTTGGTTGTTTATGTGATTACTATAACAAAAATGGAAAATATGCGATTTGATAAGATATATAGAAAAACTTTGGATTTTGTTTCCCAAAATGGATTTGTGGAAAAAAACAGAGAACAAAACAAGAGGAAGTTTGTGAGGTTTATGTGGTCAGAGGATGAGAAAGAGTTATCTGCATGGAATTGTTGTGATTGGCTGTTTCAGATGTTTTATAAGGTGACGTGGCATTGTTTTGGTTCTTTGTCTAAATTTGCATACAAGTAGATAAGCTTTAGTAGACTTTGAAAATTCAGAGCTATTGATTGGTTTTGAGACTAAAAAGGTTTCCAGACGAGCAACTAATCTTGTCAAGTCAACCGAGTTTACAATTGGGCCTCAAAGGGCTTAGTTTAAAAAAAAGGAAAAACTACAATAACCATAAGTTAGGAAAAAAACGACGAGGCGTCCGTTCCAATGAAAGAGAAACGACGAACAACAGAATAACTCGCCGTTTTTGGTAAACCACCTAAAAAGCCCTGCCGTTTGTCTCCTCAGCACCCCTGAGCCTTAACTTCTCTCTGTACTCATGCAACTCCTTCTGGTACCTCTCCTTGTCCTTCAATCCAATGTTCTGATAAACCTACAAAACAATAACCGAAAACTCGGTTCAGTTATCGGTTTACCACATATTTAATTAGTCCCGGTTTATAAGATAATTTCTTACCGTGCGTTCCTCGGTTGAGAGATTGCTCCAAGATTCGCCGATGAGCTTCGTAAACTCTCTTTCTTTGTTCGGATAGAGAGACTTGAGCTTGCAATGCTTCTCCGCAAAGAAGAAATTGTAACCGCTCCGGTTCGGTTTAGGGTAATTTGGATCTTCCCTGCGTCTGCTTCTACGCTTTTTCCCCAAACGGCGACGTTTCTTCCCAGTTTCAAAGTAAGGCGCAACGGCGCCGTTTACACCTGCGATTGGTGAAGGTGTGGTGGGCTGGGCCGAGTGGTAAAGCACGCCGTTGAGAATCTCTGAGCCCAATTTCACTTTCACCAGATAACCACAATCGAATTTGCCTTCGATTGTACCTATGGCTGTGAAACTCGACGAACCTGCACCATGCATAATGTGTGTCACATGTATATCATAATCATACTAAATAATACATTATCTTATATGTGAACCAAAATCATATATTATCATCTAGCTACCGGTTAGCTCCACGTCTTTCGGTTTATTATCCAATAAAATCCAAAATAAATTTGCATCAAACGTAATGACGGTGGGACCATTTATGAACTAGACTATATATTTTGAAAAGTATTGAGATAAACACAGAGATTTTACGATAAGTACGTAAAGCTAACTGAACAATCATCATTTGAGTGCCCCTTAGTGTAAGTTACACAAATATATAATCATTGATTAATTTTCTTAATCATTTTTGTCATGTAAAATTTAACTTTAAATGAAGTAAGTACGAACCTTGACTTGGCTGATAAGAATTGTTGTATCCAAGACTCGGAGGAGTATATTCGACGAGAGCCATTTCCTTGCCCGCTGAAGGATCCTTGGTATGAAATGTGGCTGCAAATTTGATTTTCAATTATATTCAACATATATAATCATCGTCAAAAATAATTAATATTTCCAAGATAATTATTACAATAACCGAATAACCAATTATCGACTCCCACGTATTTCGTAAGAATCTGTCCCACGATTGAACCCATGACTTAACAATTCGAGCTTTATTTTTTCTTAATTGAATTTCAGTAAGCTTTTCAGATTATCGTTGATGGTGAACAAAGTAATGAACTTTCTAGTCTTGGGGCATTAAAGAGAATTTCAGCAGCATCTAATGATTCATCGAGTAGCATTTATCAAACGGTTGAGTTAAGCAAGTCTCAAGAGTGAATGATACTTTGAAATAATAGTACAACGGAAATATAAACCTGTTGGGTGAAGAAGAGGACCACGAGCAGTGAAGAGATGGACTTGCTCGTAATGGAAGAGAAGATTGAGATAATGCTTCCTCAAGACAAAAGAAGCACTTGTTGTGGTCGCAGAGAACCTAAACACTCCTCCAACTTCCCTCCATTTCTTCTCAGTAACCACCTATTAATTCACATGCATTTTCAACCAAAATTAAAATGAGATTGAGAGCAAGAGTGAATCACCATAAATATTTTGTATTGAAAAAGAGAAAAAAAAAAAAAAAAAAGATCGAGGAGTAAAGTGTTGACCTTTTCGTAACCTCCCCTCCTCGTGACTTCCACATACAAAACATGCAAATCTAGTTCTTTTCCTCCAATCACAGGAATCCTTTGAAAAAAAAACGTATATTAAATAAGTGAAAGTGTGAAACTAATCATAAAAAGAGTATCCAGTAGTATAAAGTAAGAAGAGAGGAAGAATATTGGTTACATGAATTTGGTGGCCATTATGGAGTGAAACCGCCTGAGAGTATCCCAGAAGAGGGCAAGATCTCTAACGATGGCTTCATGTGACGCCAGTGGTTTCGGATACTCTCTCATCTTCGCCGGTGACGTAGCCGTCGTTTCAACCGTCGCCTGAGAAGGCGTCGATTCGTTTCCCGACGACATCGTTTGAGGGGGGGCGAGAGAGACTTTCTTCTGTTTTCTTTATGGAGGTTATTGTGTTTTTCTTTTTGTCTGGTCTGTCTTTTTTGGTTTTGGTTTAAGGAAAGAAGAGAAAGATAACCATTCAAGATAAGATTTCTGATTACATCCCAAAAGAAATAGGGGGATATAAATTAGTTTTTTTGCTAAGGATTAAAAAGTAACGGACGTGAGGATTTGTCATTTTCTTTCTTTTTGTGTGTTTTATTATATACCACAAAGATATAAGGAAATTTAGCTGTCAAAAAACTTCTTTCTTTGTAGTTTGTGAATATACATATTTGCTTGCTGTCAAAAGATTTCTTTCTTTGTAGTTTGTGTATATACATAATTAATAATTTGCTGTCAAAATTATTACTTGTTTTTATTTTCGAGGCGTTTCTGAATGATGTTGCTTGGTAATTTGTCTGATACTTCTAATATGCATTAATTGCATTAATACAGATTTTATTGCACCCCATCTACTTTAGAAGTTAAGCTAATGAGCAGTCGAATTTAGTCACGTCTTTTCTTTCCAATCTAATCAATAATTCAAAAAAATTCAAATCACTTTAGTCCTTTTTACATGAAAATATCAATAGTATTTGTAGAAAATAAAAATACACCGTCTTACTTCTTTACAACATGAACCATGATTAGGTGAAGAATTTAAAACTCGTACGTTCTTAAAATATCAATTTTTTTTTGGCATTTAAAACCTTGAAAAAATAGTCACTGTTGAGTATTGACATGCATTGGTAAGCAAAAGTTATAAAGTAGTGCAGTACTTATTAGTGCAGAATGAAGATAGGAGTCACACCCTAAAACTCATCGGGTCAACCGAAGTCTGACCTTTTTATTTACCCTAAATATCATTTTAAAAAATAATTAAAAGATAAAAAATAGTAAAAAAAGAAAGAAAAAAAAAGTTATGGGCCTGATGGCTCGGAGAAGCTGACGTGCGATTAGGGATTTTATTGTTCTGCTCATATGTAACGTCACGTCTCTGCCTGTAGATTCGGTTCCACGTTTCTCCCTCTCAAAATCTTTTCTCTTGCTCCTTTAATCTAATCATCAACATTGTTCAGATAATATTCTCCTTTCTCCATCAAAATAAATCTTCAGTATCAATGTATCATGATGACATTTTGAGTATCTTTGGAGTTAAAACAGAACTATGATCACAAATCAAATCCATTAGATATCATCACCGTATAAGCATTTGTAAAAACGAAAACATTGTTGCAAAATGTTTATAACTAAGCTACAGTTATGGTTTCTTTGGAGTCTTCACCATTTTGCTTAGAAACTTTGACTGGCTCTAGCTCTGTGGTGTCTTGAGTTTCATCAATCTTCTTACATACAAGAGCTTGCTCTGTGGTGTCTTGAGTTTCATCAATCTTCTTACATACAAGAGCTTGCTCTGTGATATGTTTAATTCTGCCATAGTTTAGGTCAGGATAGTTTCTATAGTTCAAGGAATGCAACCAAAGAGCCACAGATCCATATCTTCTCTCGGCAGAGCCGATATGAGAATAAATATGCTTCAATTTGAACGCCTCAGCTTCTTCCTTGTATGCTTCCATGGACACTTCCTCATGGCTCTCTTCAAATTTAGCGTTATAAGACGTGAAGAAGCATTCATCGAGATAGAGTCCAACTTCTGGCGCCATTGGTACAGTTATATTCACATCCCTGGTTACACATAAATTCCAAATTTCAGAATCAAAACATAAACTATGTACATTGCAAGCTTGAAACCACAAAAGAAGAAGAAGAAGCTTACTTGCTGAAAGCAGTGTGAAGAAGTGATTCAGGAGCAAGATTCCTCAAGATTGCAACAGCAAGACCCATCATCTTCCTTATCTGATGAAGCATGAAGCTTTTCCCTAAAACTTCACACTTGATAAACTCAATCCCATCGAGAGTAATCACAGTGTTAGCAGTGAAGGAGATGATGTGACGATTCGCAGCAGGATCATCCGCTTTCATCCTCGTAGTGAAGTTATGGAAGTTATAAGATCCAACATAGTAACTCAGAATCCTATTAAACCTCTCCTTCTCCTTCTCACCATAACAAAACTTGCTCTTTGCATCAACACACATTCCATTTCCTCCTTCACCATCATTCATCTTCTCAACAGAATCTACCGAGCTTAAGCTAACATCTGATGGTTTCGTATCAAAATGTGTGACTTTGAAACTGTTTACAGCACCAGGGATCTTGTTCTTACGACCTCTCTCTGAACATTCGAAGCATTTTACATATTCCTCACCAGATCCTAAGCTAGCCATGACTGCTTCTCTATCACGATGCGAGATTGGATCAAGAGCAAACACTGGAATCAGATAAACGTACCTCCTCCGATCGCAGAACTTTTTCGAGCTAAACGAGCGAGCGACGCGCTTGTAGCCGAAAGCTCTGATCTGATCAGGGAGATTGGAATTGAGCCGGTCAATGAATCCAGGAGGATCGACGTAGAAGCGACCGGAAACTACTTGCCCCACGGCGCTCACTCCTTTATCGGTTCGCGCAGATCGTGCGAAATCGTATTGTTTCGGCTTGCCTCGATCGGACTCTGGTACAGCTCCGGCGTGGTATAGAGCCTCTTCGAGCTCGCCTTCGATGGTTTTCGCGCCGGGATTTTTCTGCATTCCTTGGTATCCCACACCGCAGAACGCGAAGAATATGGCAACTTTTCTGCGTTTGTATTTCGGAATTCGAAGCTCCGTGCCATCTCCGCCGCAGGAGAAGTCTGTTTCCTCGTCGGAGCTGGTGGTCGACATTTTGAGCTTCTTCTGATTTGGATTCTCGATCAGGAAACTCGTAATTGAGCAATGTGTAGGTTTCAAGCTCCCCGAGTCTACATCTTCAGTGACAAGAAATCATCGAAATGGCTGCCTTCTCCAATGTCAAACAAAAGTCAAAACAAACCCTAGACGACGACGGAGATCAAGCTCACTCTCTACGTCGTCGTTTTGGTCTCAGGCGTTTTAACTGGGCTTTAAAATTGTCTCTTGAATATGGGCTTTATCTCAAGCCCAAAACTACTTAATAGCTGAATGATCATCTCAAAATCAAATAGGAAGAAGTCAACGATATCCATTGAGAGATTACACAAGTTTGCAAATTTTTGGCGCCCTTGCTCATTGATCTCTATGAAATTTTCAAATCTTCTTCACGTATATAAACATTTGCTCATGTGGTAAATACATAATGTGTATATACATACACGCGTCATACGACTGTGTCTCGTTTGTCACGCAAGTTTATCTTCTTAACTAAGAGTCAACGCGTGTAGGCTTTTCATTTCTCTATTGAGATTTCAGAGGACGAGAGAGAGAGAAAACGCAAACGTCGGCAGTTATGGAGCTTCGTTTAAAAGCATTGATAGGCTCAAAGAAGGGGAAAATTTCTCTCTTACTCGGGAAGATTCTCCACTCAATTTTGTTTTTGGGACTTCTAACAAGAAGGTATAGTATTCTACAATTGGCTTATCTCTTAATCCGCGGAATCGAATCGAATCGTCACTTTGTTTTTTGTGGGTATACTCCAATTTGCTTCGTTGATCCTTCCTTCCTCTTCGTTCTCACCTTTTTTTGAAAAAGCTCTTAGTGTGTGTGTGGCCGAAAATGGTTTGACATTTGATTCTGATTCGTTTGTAATCATAATAAACTTTTCAATCAGTTCACGCTTCGAGGCTCTATTTAAAGCAGGAGTCTTTTTGTTAAGAGACTGTAGAAACATCGCACGAAGACACATTAGCTTCTTCTCTTCCGTGGTATTTGATCTTTTGTTTGGTTCTTTGAAAATCTCTCTAGTCTTTGATATGTTTCTTCTCTCTGTTTTGTGTATAATCCTGATTCAGTCTTAGTTAGACTTAGACTATAATCGAAACTGAAATTGGAAAAAAAAATTATTATGAATTTTTCTATGAATTTTTTTTTTTTCTATTGTTGCATTAGTGGATATGTTTGAGATTGAAGCTCTTGGTTATTTGTTTTAGCTGCTTCATAATTCACACATATCACTCATTATTGTTTGTGGGGTCTCTCTGAAATAATGGTACCGCTGTTGTTGTTGCAGATAATTGTTAAAATTCAACACATTTAGCAACGACCAGTGTTTTGAAGTTTTCTTTTTGTTGAGATCATCTTTGTCTCAAGATGGGCTACTACAACAATGTAAGTCTCCTCTGTTTTTTTTTTTTTTTTTTTTCTTTTTGTTGTGGTAATTGTTTCTCCATCTTTCTCTGTTTTGAATTCAAACACGTTACTGTTACAGGTCTTTGATGGATGCAACGACCAAACTGATATCGGTAATGCTTAATATAGTACTAAGCCTTGTTCATGAGTATTCATTTTCTTAAGCTCTAAAGTCATGAAGTCTCATTTCTAGTTCAATATCAGGTAGAGTTATACGTGATGGAAGAGAAGTGATTCTCCAGGTAAGCTCATCTTCTTTTATGAATTTTTTTGGATTTTCTTATCAACTGATTTTTAACAATAAGAGAAACTGGATTATTATATCTCAGGCATATAACTGGGAATCTCATAAACATGATTGGTGGAGAAACTTGGACGGAAAAGTCCCCGACATCGCGAAATCTGGCTTTACTTCTGCCTGGTTGCCACCGCCTTCTCAGTCCCTTGCACCAGAAGGTACTGAGACAAAATGAGATTTTGTTACATTTGATTGTTTAAACCGATTAAGCCATTAGTAACTTTAATGGTTATTGTTTGTTGCTATTGTATAAAATTGTAGGATACCTTCCACAGGATCTTTATTCACTAAACTCAGCATACGGCTCTGAGCAACTACTGAAATCATTGATTCGTAAGATGAAACAGTACAAAGTCAGAGCTATGGCTGATATAGTCATCAATCATCGCGTTGGAACGACGAAGGGACATGGTGGAATGTATAACCGTTACGATGGGATTTCATTACCGTGGGATGAACACGCTGTTACTTCTTGTACCGGAGGACTTGTAAGTGTATGATTACATTTTTTGAGATTTTTGTAACTTAGCTAAAAGAAAAAGTTATCTGTTACAGGGTAACAGGAGCACTGGAGATAACTTCAATGGAGTTCCAAATGTTGATCACACTCAACATTTTGTAAGGAAAGATATCATTGGATGGCTTCGTTGGTTGCGTAACACTGTAGGGTTTCAAGATTTCCGTTTTGACTTTGCTAGAGGGTAAAGTTTTCTGATTAGCTGATTTGTTTGTTTCTTGATGATTACATATTCACATTACATATCTGATTTTGCAGTTATTCAGCAAACTATGTGAAGGAATACATAGGAGCAGCGAAACCGTTGTTCTCGGTTGGAGAATGTTGGGATTCTTGCAACTATAATGGTCATGGTCTTGACTATAATCAAGGTTTTAGCACCGCTTCTTCTTCTTCTTGTACCGTATGAAATGTTTTGCGGTTGAAACTATAACACTCTGTTTTCTATGTTTGTTTCCTTTTGTAGATAGCCATAGACAGCGTATAATCAGTTGGATCGATGCCACGGGACAGGTTTCAGCTGCATTTGACTTCACAACTAAAGGAATTCTCCAGGTACTTGCATTAGTTTCTTTTAGCACCATCTTTATTATGATTTGTTGAGTTTTGTTTACATTTTTTGTCATTTTGATGTTACTATAGGAAGCTGTCAAGGGTCAGTATTGGCGTTTGTGTGACTCTCAAGGAAAGCCACCTGGAGTAATGGGATGGTGGCCTTCAAGAGCTGTCACGTTTCTTGATAATCACGACACTGGCTCTACTCAGGTTACTTAAACAATTTCTTAAGCCTTCTTCTTCCATGAAAAAAAAAACAAATTCCACATGTTTTTTTGCTTACTTTTTTTGTTGTTCTTCTTCTTCTTATAGGCTCATTGGCCGTTTCCTTCACACCACATTATGGAGGTAAACAAGATCTTGAAACTTAACACAATCTGTTTCCTTGCATTTGCTTAGGTCTCTTTCTAATCATAGAAGATGGTTTTTTTGTGTGTTTGTATAGGGTTATGCATATATACTTACTCATCCAGGCATTCCATGTGTGTTCTATGATCACTTCTACGATTGGGGAAGTTCGATCCATGACCAGATTGTTAAACTGGTATGTTTCTTCGCTTCAGTCTCTCCGGTTATCATCATTGTATCTACGATCTTATGTTTCCTTTCATTGACAGATTGACGTTAGGAGGCGACAAGATATCCACAGTAGGTCAACGATACGTGTATTGGAAGCACAGTCGAACTTATACGCAGCCATTGTTGGTGAGAAGCTGTGCATAAAGCTCGGAGACGCTTCTTGGTGTCCTTCTGGTAGAGAGTGGACTCTAGCCACAAGTGGTCATCGATACGCCGTCTGGCACAAGTAATCCTTTTTTGTGTCCATCTATCTAGCTTTGAACCTTCTTCTTGGTCTGGAGGGTTATGTCAAACATGTCAATAAATCATCGCATGTTTTGATGATTTCTTGAACATGTTCTGATTAGCTAAAGAAACGTTGTGATTCACTTTCTATACCGGATTTGTAATAATATATTAAAGCACTGACGTCTTCCTGACGTAAGATTTTACAACTTATGAGAGGGTTTTCTTGTTGACAAGTTATAAACAAAATCGTATGACTAGTGAGAAAGTGAAGTAGACTATTGGAAAGAAATGGGTTTTGTGCTTTTCTATGAGAAGTAAGTTGACTTGCGATGTGTTTCGAAATTGAAGTATTTAAATTGCAAATATTAAAACCATATACAGAGTTTTAAATATTCTGTGCAAAGCACATGATGATCGAAATTGCTAGGGCTTGTTGGTAGGATAAATAATTACTCACCATAAAGATGAATGATATTTTTAAAAAACTATGGTCTATGAAACTGTCAAAATCGTCCCAAGGGTATAAGATGAATTTTGTAAAAAGGTACGTTAGTTATTGGTGGACACTAGACTAGGACTAGAGCAGAGAGACATCTTATAAAGCAGATGATGTGTTATGTGTATATTATATAGTCGTAGGACTTCATGATTCTTGTTTTGAATTTTTAACAACAAGAGCCCAGCTTATTATCTTATCGCTTGAGGTTCGATTCGACCCAACACCAACACTGTCTTTTCCATCTTATATATTTGACTAGTTTTGTAATGTATGCTGTTTTAAACTTTTTACATATAAAAATATTTCGGGAACTGCATAAAGAACAAAACAGAATCAATCATGCACACCTTCTGGCTTCACGTGACATGCTGTGCTAAAAAGATCTTCTGTTCATAGAAGCTCTCCTAGATCTTTCCAGTTTTTAAATTCTTCTTATTTTTTGAAAGGGTCATGATTAAGCTGCAAGACCCGTTTGCTGGTTTGATATCGGCACATCATTTTGTTTGTGCTTCCAAAACAAACCCACGGAGAAAATATCCAAATTCCAAAATACAGAGAGAATTTAACGCAGAGATATGAAACGGTAGATAAAAAGGACACAAAACTACTGGAACAATCAGATAAAAAAGCTTTGACTTTACAATACATACCAAATAATGCAAGTAATGCAAGTCAAGTTCGGGCTTCGTAGGGCGTTTGAGTCGTCTTTTGTGACCTATCTGTGTGAAACTCTGAATTTAGTGGTTTACTATCCGATGTCCATAATTTATACAAATATAAACGAATTGACAAAAAATGTTGTAATTGCCAAGAAAAAATAGAGCATATAGCATGTATGTATGTGTTTGTCGACGCTTGCTCCTCTTTCTGTTTAAAGTCGCTACTCGCAATTATAGTTTGCCAAC